CGCTATTTTAAATGCACAAATGTGTATGGAAGTTAAACCTATTCCATATTTGTATAATTACACAAATGCAGATGGATATCAAGGGAGGCCGCTTCGATTTCGATGATGGAGGAACATATATTGGTGAATGGTATGAAGGTCGCGCACATGGACTAGGTTTAGCCACAGGACCAGACAACCGAGGTGAATTTAGTGGTGAATGGTCATTCGGCTTTGAGAGGATGGGGGTCTACGTGTGGCCAAGTGGTAACGTCTACATTGGTACCTGGTTTAAAGGAAAGCGGCACGGTGAAGGCGTACAAGCAAAGGGTCGATGGATTTATCGGGGTGCTTTTACTGCAGGCTTCTGTGGTCGGATCGGTGTTAAGACATCTCTTACTAGTCAAAGCAGCTACGAAGGAAGCTGGCATTTGAACCAATTTGACGGATTCGGTGTTGAAACCAGTGCTGATGGTAGTAAGTTAAATTGTTACTAGTTAAGGAATTAAACTTCGAAGCTTGATAACAAAATAAAAAGATAAAATAAAGAATAGTGGCATACCTTTTATTTTGTATGGGGCAGCGTCGGGAAGGTTTTCGTAAATTGGCCTCATCGGATACTGAAGGAGGGTTGCCTTGGACTCTTTTCTGTTGACTTATGTGAAAAAGACCTCGGCTCACCGTCCTACGATCCCGATAACTCCGTGCTGATCTTTCGTTCGTCATATGAATGACATTGTCAGAGCCAGAAACCACTATTCATGAGCAATCACAAAAAACACCAAACCAAGGAAAGTGGCAGTCTGAGATCCTACTTACTTCTTATACTTTAACTTGTGATCTTAATGAGACATTATATGATTTGGTTAGCGGATTTGCGTTTGTCCTATATGCATATAAGCGAGTGAAAGTGAGGCAGAGAGAGGAGCAGATGTGGTTAAAACTTTCGTCCATGTAAATATGTAAATAAATTAGCCTATCATCGTGTTATCCTGAGGCTTGTTTTAGCTTCGTGGATGAGCGTGTGTTGTATGTGTGCAATACTCACAAGTTGTTCGGCAATTGTGGTTCCGAGACCAGACTCCATTTTAGTTAACAGATCACCTCTTATTCAGTGCCTCTTTCTTCTACTTTTATTTCTCTATCTCTCTTTTTCTACTTCAATTCAGCAGCCAGAGTTAGTTATTACTTAGTCTCCTACTCCTGTTTCGCCTATTCAGGATGTTCTTTGTTTTATAAATTTCAATCAACTCCCTGATCTGCCGCTTAGCTGTGAAATCCTCATATCCGGCAAAAGTTTACAATTTTGACTACTCTATCTGCTGTTCTGTAGTGACCACATGTTCATCTACCTCCGATTTCTGAATCCATTAACTTTGCAGGTGGTTTTGTTTTCTGATAATCGCTTATGTATGGATGGACAAGGTTCTTCCACATAAATACTACCAGCCTATCTTCACGTGAAATAAAGGAATCCTCATTTTATAGGCAGTGTTTCGAGACTACCAGTAACTTAGAGGTATGAGATGTGTTCCCCGTATTTTGGTTAAGGTGATGAAGGACTAGTCGTTGAATTCTTTCACAATAATATCAGTAGAGCTTAGGTTTCTATTTAATCTCACATAAACTTGCTTTCTAAAAATTATTCTCCCCCAGGGTAGACTGCAGTTTCGACCTCTCCTAGGTCTCATTAGCACCCCCAGCGAGATTTGAACCATGACAGTTCAGCGTATAATCTCTACACGATAAACATTTTGCCACAGTGCCATGAATGTCCTTGGGTCGTGGAGCAAATGCGAATTTTAAGGAAAGCCAGGAGATTTCCTTTATTACATTCTGTAGTGGGATTGTCGATGAAACAAACTTATATTTTACTATGGTAATCGACTATACTACTTAATTTTCGCTTGTATGTGTGATTTTACTGGTAGTCTCGAAGCTCTACTTACGAACAAAAAATAAGTAATGTGGCCGATCGCTTTAACAAAACATAACCTTGTTTGATGCAAAATTGCATGGCCTTCTTAGAAATTAGCATCTACCCTGTGATTTAAGGCTGCTCATGGCAATGCGGCGTAATGTTTAACGGGTCTATATTATACACTGAACTTCCATGGTTCGAGTCCTGCTGGGCCTGCTGATGAGATCTAGGTGAGGTATAAATGCAGTCCACTCTGGATGATAATAATATGTGGGAAGCAAAGTTATGCGAAATTCAATAAAATCATAAGGTCTGCTCATATAATTATCTGAAAACTCAAATGCCAATGCTTTATCACCCTATATGAAATTTTGAGAACGCTTAGCAAAATACGGGAAACTTTTAAAAACGACAAATGCATCATTTAGATGGATCGCTGCCCAGAAAATCATGTGAAATTTTCTTATATAATTGCTATCGATCAGAAAAATAGTAAGAAACCTGCCATTTTATTATTAACAAAGATAATCTCGGTTTATAAATGGATTGAATATAGATTCCATACATAAAT